GCGCTTACCTCAAGCAGCTCCCAGAAACAGTGGCATGTCCCCCCTCTGGCTCCTACACAGAGGCGCGGCCAGGTAGCTCTGCACGCTGCCCCTGCAGCTCCCATTGGCTGCGGTTCCTGGCCAGTGGGAGCTGCGGGGGCAGTGTGTGGAGCCTCCTAACTACCCCTACACCTAGGACCGGAGGGGGGACATGCCACTGTTCCGGAGCAGGGCAATCCCCTGATCCCGCTCCCCGGCTGGATCTCCGGAGTGGGAGCTTGAGGGCCGGATGTGGCCTCCAGGCCGTAGTTTGCCCATCCCTGTTTTAGGTGTAACCAGACCTCACTCACAGTAAAATCCTGGTGAAGACACATTTTCATGTGAATTAGCAGGTTGTATTAAAACTAACAAGTGAAGAACACACCCTTTTTTTTCCCCCCTAGTGAAGACAGCCTGGATGTTTTGGGTTTGTTTTCTCTCGATGTTTTAGGATTGCTAAACTGAACTGGGATTTCGCTTTTGATCCCTGAACTGGTTGGTGTGCAAAGCATCAGCTGTTACAGGTGGCTGATTTCAGTTACCTTACACGCAACATTTTATTTATTTATGACTTTGCCCTGAATTCCTTCTGTAAACAAATTGCGGCATGTGTAGGCAGGAAGAAAGATATGAATTTATGTTGTATAAAACTTACATGAAATCACAAAGAAAAAATTAGGAATTAATAACCTAAATCATCACAGTGTCAACTGAAACACTATTTGACAGCATGACCTATAGGTTTCTCCAGAGTCTTAGGCCTTGTCTAAACAAACAATTTTATGGGAAGCTGGGGTGTAAATCTAACCTGAACTAGCATGTTACGGACTAAGCGTTTGTTTGGACCCTGCACTAAAAATTCCCTGTGGGCTTTGAAGTAGGAGTAGATTAAAGCACACTAGGGAAGTTTTAGTGCACGGCTTGAGGGTCCACAGAGCACTTAATGTGTGGCAGTCTAGTGCAGGGTAGAGTCACACCCAAACTTGCCCTGAACTAAGTGTTCATGTAGACAAGCCTTAAATCCAAACCCCCTTTCATTAACATCTCTTCTGAAGGCCCATAATACATTCAGGAACCTGGATAATTAAGTAAATTACTTTTTTATTTCATTCCTTTCTCTTAAAAAATGTACGGGCAATTTTTTCTCTCAGATACACAGAGACAACAACTCCCACTGACTTCAGTGAGAGCTATATGTGTATTTTCAGAGGAAGGGTTTGACCCGTTGTAACTTAATTTGTTACTCTTCTTTGTGATTTAGTTGTAGTGATTATCATATGTTTTATAATCGCTAACTAAAATAGAACTTGATGACTCTTAACATTTTTAAATGGTTTCTTTTAACTTTTTCTCTACCCAAAGCTGAAAAATGGCAGCAGAGTGCTTACATTGCCTTTGAATTATTGTAAAATAAAAGGACTATTTTAAAGAAGGTACTATCTGAAACACTTAAGGAACAGCTAAACATGTATTTTCACATATTATTGAGATTGGATGAGGATAAGATGATTGAAAAGTTGTGTCCTCAGTTATCTGCCGTGTTACTGGTTTTAATATCTAGCTAGTTTCTGAATGAAAGACATATTAACCTAGAAGCCCTGCAATGACATAATTTCTTTTGAATTCCTGTAATTGATATGCCATGGGTGGCAAGATAGTATAAAAACTTTGTTCTGATGTGATATTGTTGAATTCCTTGTTGACAAGGGCAATTGTCATTCTGTAGTTCTATACAGAACAGATGACAATGAGCTTCCTCTTGCTGCCTTCTTGTTTTCTGGTACAATGTTATTTTTTAAAAAAATGCTCAGTTACAATTAGGCCAGTTATTAAAATATCATCGGTCATTTCCTTTGACAACATGTTGTCGTTGATGTAACACAATAGAATTTGATGGAAAGGTTATTCCTATTTCTCTGGCTGCTATCAGTACATACGAGCATATTACATTCTTCAGCTTTCTGGAAATGCTCTGTTTGACTAGGTGCTGGGAACAGGAAGTCTGAGGTTATTAGTATGTTTGCTTGGTTTCAGACTGTATGATGCAAGCTCTGTTTCCTAGAAGACACTGTGTACTGAATAGTATTTTGTAGACTATTTTATTAAATCGACTAAACTTAAATGAACTCAGGTTGATAAGAAATGATTGTCAGTTCTGAGGGTTTTCATAATCACTTCTGTGGTATCTATCTTAAGTATTTATGTGGCTGTCATGACTATAGGATCTGTGCACCTCACAAACTTGAATGTATTTATCTTCACAACAGTCTGTGAGATAGGGCAGTACTATTATCCCCATTTTACAGATAGTGAGTCTGTGTCTCAGTATCCAAAGTGGTTTTCCCAAGGTCACACAGGAAGTTCGTGGCAAAGCAGGAAATTGTATCCCAGTCTTTGGAGTCACAGGCTAGCAACTAGCCACTGGACCATTCTTCATCCCAGGATCACAAGTCAGCACTCAGCTGTAACAGTTTTCTAGGCAATTGCCGTGTGTATGTGTGTAAGAGAGAGAGAGAGAGAAAAATAGAGGTATCGTAGGTCATCTGGCTCTTTAGCATAGTCATAGTTCTGAAGTCAGGGCATCTTTTTTAGACGAGAGGTATTACAAATCTATCAGTCCCTGGCCTGTTTCAAATACACACTTTGGATTTAACTATTCCCTTAAGCACTCTGTTCACGTGACTTGTGTCTGTTCAGGCAAGAATGGGGTCTATATTTTTGAAGCATGAGACCAGCCTTCCAAAATTCAGTTCACCCACTCTATTTTTAAATGGGTGATTGATACATAGTCATTATTTTATTTTTATTTTTCTGATAATGAGTGGTGAGTAGATATTGCAGCATTGCCAACCCCAGGCATTCAAAAATCATGAGTCAGGCCCCAAACAGTCAAGATAGTGGCTTAAAAGTAATGAGATTAAAAAAAAAAATGCATTCTTTTGATTGCCTTGTGGATTTTGAGCTGTTAGGGTATGCATGATTCATATTTTCAGGCTGTTCTCCCAGCCATGATTTCTAGAAAAGTTGTAGTAAAAGCTGAGATTCTCACAAAAATCCTCCAGGATTTGGGGCTTGAAGAAAATGCCAAATATCATGAAACTTGAAATAAAATCATAAGAGTTGATAACATTGATTTTATGCCTATGTTGGTAAACTTCATGACAGTTTTGCAAAGAAAGGATCTTGATGTTTTACACATACACAATATCTCTCCCGCTGACAGATTGTAGTTGTGTTTTACTTTGGATCATAACATTCAAAACTGGGGAAATATCTTTTTAATAATTTAATATTTAAATCTATTCCCGGATAAATGATGAAGTGGCCCAAAGAGAAAAATAGTTGCAGAGAAAAAAAGAAAAGTGAAGTTGACATAAACACTGATCCATTCAATTCCTATAAAAGTAGTCTGAGGATGTGTACTATAAGCTTACAATTTTCAGTTACAAGAAATATGATAAGTCCCATTTTTAATAATCCGAAACAAATGGTCAGATCCTTCTGCAAGATATGTATCATTAGTACATTTTGCTTGAAATAGTGTTCATATAGGACTGTGAGCTCATGCCTGGATAGCCGTACAAGTGTCCTATCTCCATTCCCAGAATGACAGCATAGAGATTTGACACAGCTGGTTTTTATTTTACAAGTCAGAACTCTGGATCCTTTCCCTTGTTTAGCCTCTCCATATTTTTTATTCCGATTTAATTCGTTTTATGAAAATCTGGGTTAAAAAAATAAATTTTGGCATATATTTAAATGCAAAACGGTCACTTGCTGTTAATTTTTTTTAGAAAACAAAGCCTTTTCTATCTTTTTCTATCTTTTGAAATGTTACATATTAAAAAAAAAATGGTTCCGCTTTAGAATGTTCAGACATGTCAATGTGTTGTTATTCACACATGCAGATTGTATACAGTTTAAATATCCATTATAAGTAGTTAATATTTCCATGTCAAAAGTAATTGTAGGTTCTTTAGATGGTTTGAGTAGAGATGCCTAAATTGAAGTGGCAGAGAGGGGACTGATATTATTTATTATTTTATTAGTTAGATTTAAAAGTTGACACCTGTTCCAGGCTCTAGGCACCATAACATAATTAATGATACAATGAATACAGTTAAATTAAATCTAACATGTATTAGCTATCCCATTGTAAAAACTTAGTAGACACAAGGTAAATTAAGTGAAGTCATCCGCAGCTGAGTGTATAGTGTTGACCTCTCCTAGTTACTTTGTGATAAAAACTGCACTAGGATTTTTCAGCGGGATACTTAATGTACATTAGCAATCCTGCTGGGGAACCCCTCCACCCCACACACGTTTTTTGCTCTGAGGACATAGCCTTAGCCGAAGTTGAGTGAGAACAGCCATGCTCTGAAATAGTACTTGAGCTGCACAGGGTGATTGGATTAGTTATCACAGAGTGGTCATGTCAGCAGCTGACATTTTGTGTTAACTTGAGCAGTAGTCTATGCCCCCTAACAGGCCAGCCAACTCAAGTTTAAAACCAGCAACACACTGAAGTTAAGGGGTTCTGTGTGCGGATGGGACTTGAGTCAAGGGCAACACTCAGTTTATAACTCTAATTAACTCTGCAGTGACAACAGGCCCATAGGCATTTGGTTGAGGCAACTGGGTAGACGCTTGTTCTGCTCCAGCCCAGACAGTACCTGTTCTGTGGATAAGCAGAGGAATATGATTTTCAAGGCTATTATCAGTTTGGCGTATTCACTGGCGCTAACTTGACTTAGTACTTTTTGATTCAGATTCAATACAGGGCTGCATTTGTCTGAACCAATTCTCATAAACTGTTCAGATCAATTTTTGTTTTGTGAATAGAAAGGTCTCAGGTCCTCAGAAGTAACAAGACACTATGTTGATGAGGACTTTATAAGTACTAATTAGTATGTAGGCAAGAATGCTCATCTCTTTCTACTGCTGTAAACTAGTCTGTGCTTTTGTTCTCCCTTATTCAACAGAATTTAGCCTCCTGGAATCCCTCAAATCCTGAATGTCTCCTGCTTGTTGTGAAAGAGCTCGTCCAGCAGTATCACCAATTCCAATGCAGCCGATTACGGGAGAGCTCTCGCCTCATGTTTGAATACCAGACTTTACTTGAAGAACCCCAGTATGGAGAAAACATGGAAATTTATGCTGGCAAAAAAAACAACTGGGTAAGCTATTGAGAACACTTCTGATAAGAGCACAATAAATTAATGCTTTTAGAGTTCCTTTCACTATAGTAATTCTAGCCATTACCTTGTAAAATAGAGCTATTTGTGTGATGTGGGCACACATACTATGGGTTTACAGAGGTGAAAAAAACCTGTTTGTCCCCAGCTCACCTCTGCACTCTCCACTCCCTCTTTTGTTCACTGCTTCTATTCCATTGCCTCACTTGAATCTGATTTCCAGGTGAGCAACAGTCTTCAGAGCTGATGGCAGTGCATCTGGTTTACAGATGAACTGGTAAATTTTTTTGTGAGAATCACGTGTTCTGTCCCAGTGAGGCTATGTCTGCACTAGAAGGCTTTTGCTGACATAGTTATTTCAGTTAGGGTATGATGGAATGTGATTTTAGTGACATAGCTGGGCCATCAAAAGCCCCTACCATAGACACAGTTACACTGGCAACAGTGCAATTTTGTCAGTATAGCTCTGGCCCCACTAGCAGTACTTTGCCACTATAGCTGTACCAGCCCTAGTGTAGACATAGCCTGAATCTCATTGAAGTTTTCTAATTCCACACCTCCAGGGCCTGGTTTTTAGTTTAATTATCTGAACTGCACTATCTGGTTGTAGATAGCACAGGGGTATTTGATTATATTATAGTTATAGGGCACTGTCAACCCCTTAACCCCTTTTCTTACATGTCTGACCACCCTCTTAACATTTACGTGTTCTCAGAGCTCCACTATGCTTTTGTAAGTCTCAGTGCTGTATCTGGTCAAACCCCTTATTCAGGGGGAAAAAAATGCTGAAATTAAATGTAGGGAAATCCTTTCACAATTGTTGCTTGGAAAGCATGCTCTAGAAAATTAGCTCCCTGTATCTACAAACACTGCCTACATATTTTGTGTTGAAATGTGAAAAGCCTTCTTCGTATTTTTAGTTTGCAGACGTGCATTCAACCTTTAAAATAGGTTTTGGTAGTACCAAAAGCTGTAGTTTAGATTGTGAAAAACTTCCTATTATGAACCCCTTTTTTTCTAGTATTTCTAAGTTTTGGGCTGAGTCCAACACCCATTGAAGTCAACGAGAGTCTTCCCTCTGATTTCAGTGGCTGATGGTTTTTGAAGGATTTGTCTTTTGAGTTGAAACTCTATTAGGGGAGGATCTATTAATGGAGATTCTCTATGTCCTAGTAATGAGGAGAGGAGGGAAGATGATAAAATGCAGGTAGGATCTGATGAGGAACAGTCAAATGAAAAAAAGTCCTGTTCAATTACATCATGTAATGGCAGACAGCTAAAAAATGACAAGTTTTTAAAGTGCTTATATACCAGTGCTAGAAGTCTAAATAATAAGATGGGTGAACTAGAGTGTCTCGTATTAAATAAGGATATTGATATAATAGGCATCACAGATACTTGGTGGAATGAGGTTAATCAATGGAACACAGTAATACCAGGGCACAAAATATATCAGAAGGACAGAACAGGTCGTGCTGGTCGGGGTGTGGCACTATATGTGAAAGAAAGCATAGAATCAAATGAAGTAAAAATCTTAAATGAACCAAGCTGTACCATAGACTCTCTATGGCTAGTAATTCCATGTTCTAGTAATAAGAATATAGCAGTAGGGCTATATTACCAACCACCTGGGATGATGATAGTGACTGTAGTGAAATGCTCAGGGAGATTAGAGAGGCTCTAACAATAAAAAACTCAATAATAATGGGGGATTTCAACTATATTGACTGGGTACATGTCACCTCAGGATGGGATGCAGAGGTGACACCTTAAATGACACCTTAAATGACTGCTTCTTGAGCAGCTAGTCCTGGAACCCACAAGAGGAGAGGTGTGACGGGTTAGATCACAGAACCCCCCTTGGGAGCTGCCACCCAATGTGCCAAGACTACTTCTGCCCCTGCTTTCCCTGCCAGCTCGGGGCCCCAGCACCCTGTCTTGCTGAGCCAGACACTCCCGTCTGCTCCAGCAAAGACCCAGGGTTTGAATTACTTTCCCCAAAGCTGCAGGTTTACCTGAAAGCAGCTAACAGAAGTGTTCCTCTCTTTAACACTCAGATGCCCAACTCCCAATGGGGTCTAAACCCAAATAAATCCGTTTTACTCTGTATAAGCTTTATTCAGATTAAACTCATAAATTGTTCGCCCTCTATAACACTGATAGAGAGATATGCACAGCTGTTTGCCTCCCCAGGTATACTCTGAGTTAATTAATAAGTAAAAAGTGATTTTATTAAATACAGAAAGTAGGATTTAAGTGGTTCCAAGTAGTAACAGACAGAACAAAGTAAGTCACCAAGCAAAATAAAATAAAATGCACAAATCTATGTCTAATCAAACTGAATACACATAATCTCATCCTCAGAGATGCTTCAGTAAGTTTCTTTCCTCAGACAGGGACACCTTCCAGGCCTGGGCACAACTCTTTCCCCTGGTACAGTTCTTGTTCCAGCTCAGGTGGTAGCTAGGGGATTCTTCATGATGGCTCCTCCCGCTTTGTTCTGTTCCATCCCTTTATATATCTTTTGCATAAGGCGGGAATCCTTTGTCCCTCTCTGGGTTCCCACCCTCTCCTTCTCAATGGAAAGACACCAGGTTAAAGATGGATTCCAGTTCAGGTGACATGATCACATATTATTGCAAGACTTCATTGCCCACTTGCTAGCACACATGTATACAGGAAGGCTTACAGGTAAAACACAGCCATCTGCAATCAATTGTCCTGGTTAATGGGAGTCATCAAGATTCCAAACCACCATTAATGGACCACACTTTGCATAATTGCAATAGGCCCTCAGAGTTATATTTCATATTTCTAGTTTCAGATACAAGAGTGGTACATTTATACAAATAGGATGATCACACTCAGTAGATTATAAGCTTTGTAATGATACCTTACAAGAAACCTTTTGCATGAAGCATATTCCAGTTATATTATATTCACTCATTAGCATATTTTTATAAAATCATATAGACTGCAACGTCACAAGAGGCAATTCTTGATTTAGTCCTAAGTGGAGCACAGGATCTGGTCCAAGAGGTGCAGATAGCTGGAGCACTTGGTAATAGTGACCATAATACAATTAAATTTAACATCCTTGTGGCAGGGAAAACACCACAGCAGTCCAACACTCTAGCATTTAATTTCAGAAAAGGGAACTACACAAAAATGAGAAGGTTAGTTAAACAGAAATTAAAAGGTACAAAAGTGAATCCCTGCAAGCTGCATGGAAACTTTTTAAAGACACCATAGTAGAGGCTCAACTTAAATGTATACCCCAAATTAAAAAACATAGTAAGAGAACCAAAAAGTGCCACCGTGGCTAAAGAACAAAGTAAAAGAAGCAGTGAGAGGCAAAAAGGCATCCTTTAAAAAGTGGAAGTTGTATCTTATTGAGGAAAATAGAAAGGAGCATAAACTCTGGCAAATGAAATGTAAAAATATAAGTGGGAAGGCCAAAAAAGAATTTGAAGGACAGCTAGCCAAAGACTCAAAAAGTAACAGCATTTTTTTTTAAGTACATCAGAAGCAGGAAGCCTGCTAAACAACCAGTGGGGCCACTGGACGATCAAGATGCTAAAGGAGCACTCAAGGATGATAAAGCCATTGCGGAGAAATTAAATGAATTCTTTGCATCCGTCTTCACAGCTGAGGATGTGAGGGAGATTCCCTCCTTTTTAAAAAGGGTTCCAGAGGTGATCCCAGCAATTACAGGCCGGTAAGCTTGACTTCAGTACCAGGCAAACTTGTTGAAACTATAGTAAATAACAAAATTGTCAGACATATAGATGAACATAATTTTTTGGGGAAGAGTCAACATGGTTTTTGTAAAGGGAAATCATGCCTCACCAACCTACTAGAATTATTTGAGGGGGTCAACAAGCATGTGGACAAGGGGGATCCAGTGAATATAGTGTACTTAGATTTTCAGAAAGCCTTTGACAAGGTTCCTCACCAAAGGCTCTTATCAAAAAAGACCTAGATAAGTTCATGGAGGATATGTCCATCAATGGCTATTAGCCAGAATGGACAGGGATGGTGTCCTAGCCTCTGTTTGCCAGAAGCTGGGAATGGGTGACGGGGGATGGATCACTTTGGTGATTATCTGTTCTGTTCATTCCCTCTGGGGCACCTGGTATTGGCCACTGTCGGAAGACAGGATATTGGGCTAGATGACTGACCCAGTATGGCTGTTCTTACGTTCTAACTTTTTTTTTGGTCTCAATTAAAAAAATGTGTTTAAATACATTTTGAAGCAAATCTCTTGAGCATTTTGAGTTATGTGAGGGTGGAAACATTAAATTTGTTAAACATTCAATAAATTATGGACACATTTATTATAACTCAGATAAAGATATCTGAATTTTAAAATGTATTTGCTGCTAAAGAGAACATGTAGGAAAATGAAGACCTTACCCCAAGTAGCTTGCAGTATAGATAGAAACCTTGTATATTTCAAACATAATGTGGGTCATACAGATAAGAAAAACATAGAACACAGATGAGTCTTGAAAAATACTCTTACAGTGTTGTTAACTATGCACAAATCCCAGCACAAGCAGGTGGGCTTAACTTGTCAGGCCCTTAGACATTTATTGTGGAAAGGCCTTTTGGAAGAAATTACCGGTAGTTTTAAGGAGTGCTTTGAGTGTGGCAAAGAAGGTCGCTAGGAGACTTGGGATGTGAAAAGTATTTCTCAATAAGAAGTGCCTGCTATGCTAAGTTTGGAGGGAAACTGTTTGAAGTTGAATTATAAAAATGCCCTATGGAATTATTTCAATAGAAATTTTACCAAGTGCATACTTTAATATGTTCTACAGAGAGATCCTCAGTTCACCCCATGCTCAGAGAGAGAGAGAGAGAGAGAGAGAGAGAGATTGCATGTATGGATATCCCTTCCTACATGGTGTTAAGATTGCTTGTAGTTGTGTACATAGCTTTATCTGCACCTACCTACAAAGACAAACACCATACACCCTTTCATTGAGTACATACTGTATACCTAGCCCCTACATATACATGCACATTCTCATTTACACACCATATATATTATACTTGCATTCAGTAGTTTCACATCTTTATTTTTTTTCTTCTTCCTTTCTTTTTTCTGTTTCTGTCCACTTAAAATTTTTCAAACCCTATGGAAATCGTATGCAAAGAACTCTGGTAGTGCAACATGAAAGTGGCACATAAATGTCAGAAAATGCTGAATTATCACTGAACATTCACTCAATCTTAAATTTTCCCTAGTTGGTTATAGAAAAAGTATATGATTGAGTAATTAGATACCTCTGTAATGCATATGCAAAAATAAGGCAGAGTTAAAATTGAACAAGCATTCACCTGCCTTTCCTTGGTATATCCTGATTTTTGTGTGCTTAATGTTAGATTAATTAAAGTGTTTTTGTTTTTGGTTTTGGTTTTTTTTGCATGGGTTATACACTTTTTTGACATAATGCATGAAATATCCTTACTTTATGTCTCAGCGGGGTTAAAATCTTTAGGAAATCAGACCAATGTTTATTTCCTTCTAGAAGAATGAGCTTAGTCTTCTCATAGCCAGGTGGATAAGGCCTCATTTTAAGGAAGCATATGAAACAGAAAGGAAATCCTTCCCATTTCCTTTGCATACACTTGACGCATAAAAAACAGCAATATGTTAGGAAGAGTTTGGCAACTTCTCAGTAGACAACAGTTGCAAAGCAGCCCTCTAGGTTTTACAATTTACATAATCCCGAAGAGAAATTATGGAAAACCCTCTTACCAGTTCTTTCTTCCTCACTGATTTAAATGCTACTTCTGAACCATCTACACTATTTTCAGCTCAAGCTCTCACATCTTAAGATCTCTCCAAGTTTGCTAAGAGTAGAAGAAATCAGAAGATGTTGAGAATGAAAGAATCTCTTTCCCTTCCTGATTATGTACAACTCATTTGGCACATTCCAGTTACTCTCACAAACAAAGGCTTTATTTACAGAAATCAGTCTCAAAGTTCTCAGTACATTTGTTTACCTTTGGACAAATCCTGCACCATTAAAGCCAATGGGAGTAAAATTGAGCCCTTTACAAGTAGGATCATTTCATTGCTGAGAAGCAAGGACGGTCATTTTCTGTCAACAGAAAAGGGCTGCTACCCAGATGTGTGCAGAGATGGACTGTCCTAATGAGAGAAAATAGGAATCCTTCCTCAGTGAGAGAACCCCATTTTGCAGTTTATCAAACAGCTCATGAGATTTATGGCATCCTCCAAACTCAAATTATAGCTCTGGTACTTCTAGTTTGTCCTGGAACCCATATCATAGTCCAGTGTGGATTTTGATTTGAACAAAACTTCCTTCGCTCATTTCTAATTATTGTTAGTTGACAGAGTGAAATTTTCAATATGGATGAATTATGGCCAGACTAATTTGTGGTCTAAATTGGTGAAAAGCTAAAATTTGGTTTCTAGACTACAATAACACCTAGTTTGCATAAATGTCTATTTAAAAGAAGTAATTTACAATGCCATAGAGGTTCTGTAGCTCTCTTTATAAAATAAAACATCTACTAGTTCTTTTTTTTTTCCATTCAGAGACACTGTCCCACTTTGGAAATTAATGGCATGAAAAATGTTATTTAACAAGCAAGCACATACCTGAATGATGGGGCAAGAGGAAGACTCTATCCGTGTTTTTCTATTTTGCTCCACTAGTATAACTTCAAAATGTTTTAATAGAGTTTTGTCAGAGAAAGCTCTTGTACAGTTGGACGGTAAATGCCCAAAGGATTTTTAAGCCATATTTTAAATCCCTGGAAATAGAGATGTATACAGTAGACACCTATTGAAAGAGTAACCTTGTTACATCCCTTTTTTCTCTCAACAAGTCTCTTCAGTTGTGAAAAAGGACATTTCGTCTTTTATGTGATTATTCTGTTGCAAGGAAAAATTATTCTTTTTATCTGATACCATAGTACTTTCACTGTATTTTTGGGGCTTTATTTTCACTGTAGAAAAAAGTGTTGATGAGATTGGCGTGGCTGCAGTCTCTTTAGTTATTAGTGGTAATTATGCCAGTTCTTCCCAGTAACATTCAGGCAGTCACTATATTAAATAAGTGTACCAGCAAAATACATATAATGAATTTCCCATTTAAAAAAAAACCTAGAGATGTGTGCAAGGCATGCTAATTTCCGATGCATCTAAATGCTGTACTGGAACACACAAATAGCCAGATTTGCAAAAGTGGGGCCTGATTTTCAAAAAACATGCTTAGTTTCCACTATGGCACCTAAACAAAGGGGCAAAATTTTCTCCTCATTCTCAGTGGGAGCTACTGAGTGCTGAGCACTTTTGAAAATCTGAGCAATATATTTAGGTGCCTAAGTGAGAACTGTTGGGTTCTAAACTCTTCAGAAAATCTAGCCCTAAAATTAGATTGTAAACTCTTCAGGGTATTGACTGTCTACCTCTGTGTCTGTACAGTATTCAGTACAGTAGGGCCCTCGTCCTGATTGGGATGTTTAAGTGACACGACAATAGAGAGATTGTGTATTACATTGTATTCTGGATGCAATACAGAATAGTAATTATTTTGCCTATGATTTTTAAAGTAGAGTCCTTTAAAGACATACCTATTTAGCAGTCAGGATGTAGTTTGTGCAACACGTCATTGATGACCTTTATATTTTCCCCTTATTATTGTAATTTGAGTTTTCATGAGGTATTTACATTCATGGGAATAATTTATGCTACTAAATGTAATCCATTTGTTAAAACACTTAGTTAACTTGTGGCTGCAGAAGCAATGACTTCAACGGTGATGAGTAAAGAGAAGACATAGGGCCTGGTTTAATCTAATGTAGGTTCTGATATGGTGCCAGCCATTATGCTCTCTAAGGACCTTTTTACCATTGACTCAGTGGGAGCAGTGCCCTGAGAGTCTTGGGATATATTGCCATATTGCTTATTGTGAAAGCTATAAATAAATGTTTTTTTTTCATTTTCAACAATTACCATTGAAAGCTGTTGCTTAACTCTTCCTCCCTCAGTTGCTAGAAGATACTGCCTTGCTAAATATTTCAGTCTGAATAGGTTCAGCTTGTGACCCTGTCTGCTGTAGATAATAGAGAGTGAAAAGAAGAACAGGAGGACTTGTGGCACCTTAGAGACTAACAAATTTATTAGAGCATAAGCTTTCGTGGACTATAGCCCACTTCTCTTAGAGACTAACAAATTTATTAGAGCATAATAGTCCACAAAAGCTTATGCTCTAATAAATTTGTTAGTCTCTAAGGTGCCACAAGTCCTCCTGTTCTTCTTTTTGCGGATACAGACTAACACGGCTGCTACTCTGAAACCTTTCAATAGAGAGTGAGATCACTTTAGCTGTAGGTCTCATTATTTTTGTTCCTTTCTCCTCAGACTGGTGAATTCTCAGCTCGCTTCCTTTTAAAGTTACCAGTGGATTTCAGCAATATTCCCACATACCTTCTCAAGGTAAAATAAATGACTGTATTGACAGTGCTCATTTTGTGAGAAAGTTTGGACTAGTGAGATGTTCCCAGTAATAATTTTATTTTGAATTTCAGAAATTTAGCTAAGAAGCTGAAAATCAGACCTTTCAAAATTTTTGGTTGGTGCGCTGGAAAAGTGTCAGTAGAGTTACTTTGTATTCCTGATTAAATTGTCCTTGCAAATGTGTAACAATGAAAGGAGTTTTCTTCCAAATGAAAAAAAATCAGTTTTTTCCCCAAAGTTTTACCCATCAGGATGGGGAGGGAGGGGAGTATCCACCTGGATTAATTGACTAACAAAACTAACACACTGATTGATTAGATTCCATTTTAAAGACTATGCAGGAGCCTAGGATTCACTAAGTCCATTTTATTATTGTGCTTATTCTGACCCTACATCCCTTCTTCCTACTCACATAAAACTGCAGCCAATTGTGATATAATGATAACGTGGTATTATCACCAACATCAGAAAAGCAATGCAAGAATTAATTCAAATATAACCTTTAAATCTGCACAGCTGTCAGGATGGAATGGATGGTGATTTTTGCCTAATAAGTAACGGTTTGCTGTAGCTGTTTTTCGTCATCCCTGTTCTTTGTGGTTTAGGTGCCAATAAGAGGTGTGCTGTATGCACGTGTACTACATGAAAAAAATGAGCTTTCTCTGTAGAGTAGAGTATTTAAATAAGGGCTTGAGGCATTGAAATTGCAGGCACTATTTATGAGAGATTTTTATGTGATTAACTCAAGAAAATACATGCACTGTACTTTTCCTGAGTCAAGTGTGTGCTTCATTAAACCTTCATCTTCAATTTACAGTCAACTAACTCTTCGTTACGCACCCTGGGTTATACAACCCAAGCAGGGATGGTGTCTGGCACAATACAGCAGATCCCCTGGACCTAGCCTTATTGCAAAAAATACATATAGTAAAACAAAATGAAGAACTTGAAAAATGAGTATGAAGTAGAGTTAATTTAGGTCTACAAATTACTTTTCTATTCCAGAACAGCAATATGTTTACCTCGGCACCCCTGTGCTTGTATCATTCAGTTGTCTCAGTTAGGCATCTATTTAAGATCACGTGAATATGTATTTAGTAATAGTTATAAGCAGTTTATTAAAGCAATAAAATACAATTTTGGCATAAATATTATCTTTATTTTGGTAAAAGGATATTTTTTCCCTTTTGTGTTTTTTCTCCTTTTTCTCCAAAGTGTATATGATAAATACAACTTCATTATGTATGACACTTTCTATACAGGACAGAATTCAAAGAACTTTACAGAGTTTTAAATATTATTGGTCTGAGAGGTCCCCTCCACTTCCAGAAATGGAGGGGACCCAGATCTGAAACTTCTACTTTGGGTTGGGGACAGAACAGAAGGCCTTTGGACAGATGGATATGGTTTCTGCAGATTTCTAGTAATCCATGGGACTGGGGGGACAAAATGCTGGCCAGTTCCGTGAGATAGAAGGGGGGAGAAAACCTACAAACTATGAGACAATTCTAAATAAACTCTCTGTGTGAACTAGTAGAGCTTAATTTCCCCAAATTGGCTTTTCCCAAGTAGAGGTCAATTTGTGTAATTAGAATTAAATAGTAGCAGAAGAGGACAGAGAAATTAAGAGGTTATAGTGAAGGTCCCCAAAAATGTAGTTTTCCTATAGTAAATTTACAGTTGAACTGTGAAATATGATATATAATTCTGTTCCGTAAATAGCTCTGTGGTGCTTCAGTAAATTTACTGTGTGGCAAGATTGCACTTCTTGGTGACCTTATAAGCAACATTAAAGGCAGTTGCTTTCAAATCTCAGGTGAAAACAACAAGAGAGTGGAGTGCACATAAAGTAGAAAAATAGAAGAATGCTATTTCAGATGTAAGAATTTGTAGAAAAGAAGGCTCTTACACTTTCAGTAGGATGTTATACAGATTGAGAGAAGACTAATGATTAAATAAGTGGAGTAGAGACAGATAGGATCCATAAAAGTAGAGTTGAACAAGCCCAGAGAGGGTGTTAGAGTGAGGAGAGAAGTTTTCCACTCAATCCTGAAATGAATGAGGAGCTTCTGGAGATATTGGAAGAAAGGATGTTTTGGTGCTAGTACTAAGAATAAATATTTATTAGATAAAGCTATGCTGGGTTATTGTGTGACAATTTGGAGTGTGTTCTAATGTTGGGAATGCTTATTATTCACTTGAAAAACAATAGAAATGTAGGACTAGAAGGGACCTTTATAGGGCCTCTAGTCCAGTCCCCTGCACTGAGGGAGGACTAAGTATTATCTAGACCATCCCTGACAGGTGTTTGTCTAACCTGTTCTTAAAAACCTCCAATGGTGGAGATTCCACCACCTCCCTAGGTAATTTGTTCCAGTTCTTAACTACCATTACAGTTAGGAAGCTTTTTCCTAGTATCTAACCTAAATCTCTCTTGCTGCAATTTAAGCCCATTACTTCATGTCCTGTCCTCAGTGGATAAGGAGAACAATTTATCACTCTTCTCTTTATAACAGTCTTTTACGTGCTTGACAGTTATCATGTCCCCCCTCAGTGTTCTCTTCTCCAGACTAAACAAACCCAATTTTTTCAGTCTTTTCTCCTAGGTCATGTTTTCTAGACCTTTAATTTTTTGGAATTTCTCCAATTTTTCCACATCTTTCCTGGAGCATGGAGCCCATCATTGATGCTTTGCAAGAACGATATGTGTTTTACATTCAGTACCACATTCATCATTACTTTGGCAGTTTTTAGAAAGTGCATTGTTAATTGAATGAGCCCAGTCACCTCCAAAGGGTTCTGAGTTCATTTATGTTCACTGTGTCCACGTACTCTAGACTTCCTCTGTTGGTTAAGTGTCTGCTACTCCCCCTCATTCTCTCTGTTTACAAAACTGCTTCAGAGGTGAATCATCCTACCAAGGTCTTGCAGAATTTTTTGGAGGAGAATATGAATAGTGGTTAATCCATTTCTCAACAAATCTAGAGCTTGATTGGTATATAATATTCCTAGACAAGTAGCTGCTCTATTGCTCAGCCATGTTAGAGCTTAGACGTTTCTCTATGCTGCAAGTGAGTGCTAAGGGGAAAGAGTCTAAAGGTACCATCTTCCAATTCCATGCAAGCAGCAGGACAGGATCTCTTCATGGGATATTCCCATGTGCTCTGAATTGGGGACTGCATACTGCAAGTAAAAGGACACAATTTGCTAACTTAAAAACATGTCCCACTCTCTGTTTGTCCAAGCATGCATGCTTAGTGAATAGCATGTATTAGCTAGTGACTTGTGCTGCTCTTTGCCTGTTCCCCATGCCTATACCGTGGAATTCTACCCTTGCAGTCAGGATTCCTAGAATGGAAGCTACAGTTGTCAGCCTTCTGATTGATCCTCATCACAGCATGGGCAAAGGAGGGATTAGGTGTTTAGAATTTTACTAGCTTGTCTCTAAATTTATAATGTTTAAAAATCATGGAATGGTGGCTTCTTTGTGACACTTTCCAGAATCAATTCAGAGTCCTATTTTCTATGTTGTTTGTATTAAACAAATGCTATACATATATTCAATAAAACAGCGTTTCTCATATGTTTCCACTAGGGCTGTCGATTAATCGCAGTTAACTCACATGATTAACTCAAAAAAATTAATCGTCGTTTTAATTACAATGGTAAAGGGTAGAATACCAATTTAAATGTATTAAATATTTGAATGTTTTTCTACATTTTCCTATGTATTATATTCTGTGTTGTAATTGAAATCAAACTGTATATTATTTTTGATTATATATATTTGCACTGTAAAAATGATAAACAAAATAAATAGTATTTTTCAATTCACCTCATACCAGTACTGTAGTGCAATCTCTTTGTTATGAAAGTGCAACTTACAAATGTAGATTTTTTTTTTGTTACATAACTGCACTCAAAAACAAAACAATGTAAAACTTCAGAACCTACAAGTCCACTCAGTCCTACTTCTCATTCAGCCAATCACTAAGTTTGTTTACATTTACAGGAGATAATGCTGCCCTCTTCTTATCTACAGTGTCACCAGAAAGTGAGAACAGGTGTTTGCATGGGATTTTTGTTACCGGCATTGCAAGGTATTTATGTGCCAGATATGCTAAACATTTTTATGCCCCTTCATGCCTCGGCCACCATTCCCGAGGACATGCTTCCATGCTGATGACACCCGTTAAAAAATAATGTGTTAATTAAATTTGTGACTGAACTCCTTGGGAGAGAATTATATATCCCCTGCTCTGTTTTACCCGCATTCTGCCATATATTTCATGTTACAGCAGTCTCGGATGATGACCCAGCACATGTTGTTCATTTTAAGAACACTTTATCTGAAGATTAGACAAAACGCAAAGAAGGTACCAATGTGAGATTTCTAAAGATAGCTACAGCACTCGACCCAAGATTTAAGAATCTGAAATGCCTTCCAAAATCTGAGAGGGATGAAGTGTGGAGCATGCTTTCATATGTCTTAAAAGAGCCACACTCCAATGCGGAAACTAAAGAACTCGAACCACCAAAAAAGAAAATCAACCTTGTGCTGGTGGCATCTGACTCAGATAATGAAAATAAACATGTGTTAGTCCGCACTGCTTTGGATTGTTATTGAGCAGAACCTGTCATCAGAATGGACGCATGTCCCCTGGAATGGTGGTTGAAGCATGAAGACACATATGAATCTTTAGTGCATCTGGCATGTAAATATCTTGCAACGCCAACTACAACAGTGCCATGAGAACGCCTGTTCTCACTTTCAGGTGACATTGTAAACAAGAAGCGGGCAGCATTAGCTCCTGCAAATTGTAACCAAACTTGTTTGTCTGAGCGATTGGCTGAACAAGTAGGACTCAGTGGATTTGCAGGCTCTAAAATTTTACATTTTTTTTTAATGCAGTTTTTTTTGTTCATACGTCTACATTTGTAAATTCAACTTTCATGGTAAAGAGATTACTATGGTACTT